AGTAAGTGGTGTTTTCCCCACAATGTGGAAGGTTGCGTCCATCATACCTATTCACAAAGCTGGAAACATCCACAACGTTGAAAGTTATCGCGGAATTTCGATTCTGAGCTGCCTCCCAAAAGCTCTGGAGAAGATCGTATATGAGGTCGTATATCAAGCGGTTAGGCCAATAATTACCGAACATCAGCACGGCTTCGTGAGGAAACGCTCTACAACAACCAACTTAATGGTGTTTGTCAACTCGCTGATCAACTCCATTGAAAAACGACGACAAGTTGATGCGATCTACGTGGACTTCAGTAAGGCGTTCGATAGGGTTCCACATGTGCTTGCAGTGGACAAAATGAGGTGTATGGGATTACCTAATTGGGCCTACAGTCTTACTTAACTGACCGCTCAGCCTATGTGAGCATTAACGGTGTTAATTCGCCTAGTTTCGAGATACCCACTGGTGTTCCCCAAGGTAGCCATTTGGGGCCTTTAATTTTCATCCTGTTCGTGAACGATCTGTGTAGTCGACTGTGTTCTTCGAAACTTATGTTCGCCGATGACTTAAAGATCTTTCGTACAATTAAGTCAAGACTTGACTGTTGCGCACTCCAGAAGGATATTGATTCCCTTTTGCGCTGGTGTACATTGAACGGCATGCACGTTAATGTCACAAAATGCTGCGCAATATCTTTAGCCGTTCACGCGAGCCCTTACGACATGACTATAGGATAGGACTCAGTAGTTTGCTCTTTGTTTCTTCAGTTAAGGATTTGGGTATTATCATCGACTCTAAAGTCAGATTCAATGAACACATCTCCATGATAACTGCTAAAGCATTCGCCACATTAGGTTTCTTGAAACGAAACACAAACGCATTCCAGGACATCTACGCGCTGAAGTCGCTATACTGTGCTCTCGTCCGCAGTCTTTTAGAGTATGCTGTTGTTGTGTGGGCACCCTTTCACGCTATTCAAGCTAACAGAATCGAAGCCATTCAGCGAAACTTCGTAAGATACGCTTTACGTGTTCTGCCCTGGAACGATTCGGTAAATTTGCCACCTTACGAAGAACGGTGCAGTCTGATTGACCTGGACACGTTGGCAGCAAGGAGGAAACTACTTCAGCGACTCTTCGTGTTTGGATTGCTTAACGGTGACGTGGATTGCAACTCTCTTGTGAGCCAAATCTACATCAATGCTCCTCAAAGAGTTACACGTAGTTACACGCTTCTGTGGCAACCTACCCATCGGACCAACTACGGATTCAACGAACCGTGGACTTTGTGCTGTCGTGTGTTTAATGAAACGTTTGATGTATATGATTTTAACATTAGTAAGTCTACTTACAGACATAGAATTCGACACCTAGCCTAGAAAATATGTATACAACATTATGTTGAAAATTTAATTAAATAAATAAATAAATAAATAAATTCCTATTAGATCAGAGTTGGTTGGAAATGCTAACATGAAGCTTTAGTGTGATGATTTATTAGCTAGAGAATGATCTTTAGAAGAGGGTAGGTGGATAGTTCCGTTAGAGTACGGCAGTATGAAAATTGAATAGAAGTTGAAAATGAGCGAAGGGCCATTAATGCGACAGTTTTAAGATTGACGCACATTTTTGCCTAACCCGTACGATGTACGCGGGGGTTAGGCAAAAATGTGCGTCGATCTTAAAACTGTCGCATTAATGGCCCTTCGCTCATTTTCAACTTCTATTCAATTTTCATACTGTCGTACTCTAATGGAACTATCCACCTACCCTCTTCTAAATATCATTCTCTAGCTAATAAATCATCACACTAAAGCTTCATGTTAGCATTTCCAACCAACTCTGAAAATCGTTAACTTCGCGTATGAAGTAACATAAAAACACTTTGAATGTTCCTATTAGATATTTTTGCAAACAGTGACAGATAGCAGACATGAAGCTCAAGTGGAGGTGCCGGGCAAAGGTGTTATATCCTAGACAAATGGTAAGTTACAAATTGCTGTTATCGTTGCCGTAGGCACCGTCGTAGTCGCTGTCATAATAGCCGTCGTAGCCGCCGTAGGCAGAACCGTTAGTATATTTAAAATTAACCATCAACCGCTGAAACTATATGAATTATCGCGTATTTCTGTTGTTCATTACATACCAACTGAAATTCGAGAACGTAATTTCATTTGAATAGCTTCTTTAACCAGGGCTTCAACAATCGTCACGTCGGTCATAGCTTGTTATGATTGCCTGAACCATGCGTAAAGAGCAAATCGAAACATTGACCGTCGCGTGAAAGTGGAACTCAATGAAGGCCTAAGTACTCTTTGGTAGCTTTTAGTTTTAAGATTTGAAAGATCGTCGGTTGCAGTGGCTTACTTACTGAGCAGAAAAGTGCGGTCCCAGGTCCTTTCATATTAAAAATGTTTGGTAAGATCGCTTGCTTGTCGTGTATTTTGTAAAACTTTTCGTTGTCGTCGGTGCCGGGTTTGAATAGTTGTAACAATTTGAGTAACGGTATAATGTGATATGAGGGGCTTGGTGGCCTTAGAGCAACCGTTTTTGCATACTGAGCAGAACATCATGAGTCTAATTTCAAGCCCATCCGCATTCAAGATTCGTCAATCGTTTTATTTGTTAACATGACTGCATGGTAATAACAGCAACTCGATGAAGAAAAAGGAGCTCGTCTGCCTAGTGGAAAACGTTTTGATTACTGAGCAGAAGACCGTGGGTTCAATCCCAAGCTACTTCGCGTTATATGATCGTTAGGACATCAATTACCAAAACGAACCCTGCTGCAAACCCAACTCTATTACCCAATATTCCAGTGATTTCTCGTCGAAGAGCTGAGGTTTTCTATGCTTTCATCAAAGCGAGTGTCATGTCAACACATTCCTACCCCTTCCTTTCTTGACCCGTGTTCGGGCGCGGCCGGCGCTGATGTTGGCTAGTTTGAGATCACCAGTTTTTACACATTGAGGATTATTGCTAGTCCCAAGCATCGTCTATTGGTTCTCTGTGTAATAACTGCTGGTCTGGCAATAACAGAGTAGCAACTGTGGACGGTCAATCATGCTCATGCTCAACATAACGAGTTGGAAATTCGTGTACATAATCGTGGTCTGGGAATCGTAATAATGCAAATAGAAAATCAAGAAATGTTCTACTACGTGGATTCGCCCCAAACTGCAATGCAACACATCATCACTCACTCTCTCTCTCTCTCTCTCTCGCTCTCTTCATCTCTCTTTATCCTCTCTCTCAGTGCTCCATCCATTCGCAACAAGCTCAAATCGTGAGAGCCTCCACGATCAGCAAAAATCAACGTGCCAGCCACGTCCAAGAGATAACGACGGTGCTCTCCCACGGGATCAACTTGCTCAAGTGCCTAGCCGCCACCATATACTCACTCGCAACCCACGATCGCACGTGAGCGCGGATTGCATTTCACTTCTCACGGCTCACCCACTGACTAAACTGACTGCTGACTGACGACTGGTGAACGGTGCGCGAAAGTACGAACGATCGCGATCGCGCCTACCCGGGTTGTAAGCACAGCACCTTCACTCGATTCGATCCCAGGTCAGTCGTCAGTCTTGCCGCAGTTCTTGCCAGCGCTGGTCATGCTCGAACTTTTTCTTTCGGCGCGGGTGGTTGAGTGATTTTGTCTCGGTGTTGTTTTTTTTTTGAGTGTTTCTGTGACTAGGAAGAACAAGTTTCGCGAAGGAGTGTCATCCTAGATCCGGGTGTGTTTACGTTACGAAGGAAATGTGTAGTTCGGAACTTTTTGCCGTGGTGGGATTTGAAGAATTCGAGTAAAGCGAGCAAAGGTAGTGTTTTTTGTTTTCGTTGAAGTAGCGAATTTTTGAAACAACTTAGAAGAATAAAAGTGGAAATATGCGATAATGCTAAAACTGAATTAAATTAGCAACCAGAGTGAACGGAAAACGGAGAAGTGGAAACAAGGAAGCAAGAAAATTTCATTCAACTGCCCAACACGACGGCGACGACGACGAAGTCGGAGGACGAAGTTTCTCAGAGTTGCCACTTGCAACCGTCCTGGTCCGTTGCACTTTGAAAAGCGACCGTTTTTATTTTTTTGTGAGTGCTGCTGCAGCGCCTACTGCGTTCCCCGTGCGAAAGTCGTTCGATTCGAAAACACGACGACGACGACGCAACCAAAAGGGTTGGTTGTTTGGGCAGTGAGCCGTTTCAAGAAATCACAGAGCAGTGGACCAACGATCGGAAGGGGGATCGGTAGTTGGTTGTTTACGAAACGAAAATTCGCGAAAAAAAAAACTGAATGCATGCATGAAACGAGCGAAGAAAGAAGTGTGTGTGGAGAGACAGAGTGAAAAGGCCCCCCAATTCCTGTTTTCCGTTTATGGCTGGAAATAATTCACTTTCAGTGCCAAAAATGTGGAAAAATTGCACGCTCGTTAAGATTCGATAGGATCGAACGAATAGGCGGAAATTGAGGGGGAGGGGGGAGGGACTTTCGTAGTCGAAATTTGATTTGCCTTCCGTTTGACATTCACCGAGGGAAGGTTTGTTTTCGCGGTTGGCAAACGCAATTTTCAAGGTATTCAAATGCAAAACGGTTGTAGGCTATCAGCTGGTCGCGACCTGGTCGTTTCGCATCGGTCGGTGTTCGCGATTTGTACCTAACATACCTCCCGGACGCTCCCATAAGTATGTACATAAACCAGTACTGACTTTTTTGCCCCGGCCCTGCCTCGTCTTTTCCTCGTCTCCTTTTTACGACTCGTGTTCGGAGTTTGCAAAAGCTCGTATATCACCTGTTTGAATCTCGTTAGATGCCTTTGCCTGTGCCCACCTCGGTCGCCGCCGTTTTGTGAATGGGAATCGACTGTCTCGTCGAGACGTCAAGACTCTTGGCGCAAGAGGACTCTGTCGGTTTCGCGCTGCGACTGTGCCTCTCCCCTCGATTTGCCTTCTTTTTTTCGCTAGAGAAGGCTGTAGGAACATTTATAAATTACACACTCTACCCAGATGTATTCATCAACGGCGACCTCTACCTCGCGACACGGTACTGGTGTGTTTATTAAAAATTTTATGTGAACGTCAAAATTATTTTATTTGTCAATAAACCAACCCCTACTAGATCCTCCTCGCAGTCCGTTGGTCGATTTGCTGCGCGAAAAAAATTGTTATTAAACTAACCTCAATCGGACGGTTTTTTTTTTATTCGGAATTGAGCCATAAATTGGAACCACCGAGAACAGCTGAGCTTCAACTTCCCTTCTCTTTTCTCCGCTCCTCACAACCTCGCGTTCTTTTTGCCTTCAGAGAGTGCCTTCGGGTGAGTGATTCGCTGGTATTTCAATACTCCATCTGCAAAGAAAAATAATAATAATAATAAGTGAGAAGTGCTATCAAAGTTGAAATCGATCGTGCCTGTTTGCTGGAGTTCTGGCTGAAACTGATACTCTAAACGAACCAGAAAAAACGAAAAAAATTGCCAAGACACCAGGTGGCAGACGGAACCCGGCCGTAGACCCTTTCTGCGAAGAATCTGCTCTGCTCGATCCCATCGGAACAACAGTTGGTAAGTAGCGATTGGAAAATTATTTATCCGCGGAATGCGTCGGCGCACGTGCTGCCAAATACGCACAACGCCCTCTGGCGGCGCGGGGAAGCTCTTTTTTTTGCACGATCGGCTTAACTGCCTAAGCCTTTCTCATTTCCTTTTTGCCGATGATGATGATGATGATGATCGGTGTCGCGGCGGCATCCATGCGGCAATCCCGAGTGAGGTGCCATTTTTAGATAACATGCACTGGTCGCTGTCAGCAGATTGATGGTCGTCTTCGTCCGGCGGCGACGACGGAAGACGGCTTAGGCAGGTTGGCGATCTTCATCGACTTGCGGCGTTTGTGATGCTTCTTTGATCCTAATGGTCATTGGTGGATGATTTTAAGTTCATTCCGAGAATGGTGTGATCAGGACAAGTAGCGGGAGATTTTATTTCCCCTAGAGAAGTTTGTCCAATACAAAACATTGTCCATTTGGATGCGCTGGGGTACGCGTTGGGCATAATTCATAATTCGGTGGCAAATCACTAAGTTACTCATTCATTCTCTCATGAGCTGTTATTTATTAACAATATTATTGATTCCTTTATTTAACATCGGTCTCTGATCCGCAAGGGTAGTTAACGCACCCATCATATATTGAATCGCATCAGAAAAATCCCAATGACATTGGCTGGGATTGAACCCAGACACACTGCATAGTGGCAAAAATTGACAAAACCGCGACTAAATTGAATATTTGGGCTGGCAGACGGTTTCAGTCAACATGGTATACATATTCTTAAAGGAAAAACTCTGCAGAATCGATTGGTGGATTGGTCGATTGGAGGGCCGGAATCAACCCGAGTTCCCGGGAATGCAACTATCTATCGACATAGTTTTACATCTTACTTTAGGCATATTACTGCACCCAACCGGTGGATGTAAGATTCGCTTACAATTATGTGGGATTCATCATCAGAGGATGTAAGTGGAGACCGCATGAACCGAGGATGCGATATACCTAGCTGCGGTCCGATGTAAGAAAATTGGAGACCGAAAAATGTGGAGTTGTATTAGTGAGTGAAATTAATTATGTCGAAAAAAATAGAAAAAAGGTTGCCGACTGGACTCGAACCATGGACGTTGCGACTATCAGACCTGTGCTTTCTCCACTGCTCTCTCCATGCTTAAAGCAAACATGAAGCGCTCATTTTCTCGCATGCTCGACTTCGTATGCTTTTTCTGCTGGAGAGATTCGAGTTAAGTGCGTGCGTCGTTCTACAATGTTCTACAATGTGCGTCGTTCTACAAGCTTACTGGTATAGTCGAAAGCGTAGATTGAACCCGAAATAAAAATGCTCGACTTCGTATGCTTTTTCTGGGGGAGAGATTCGAGTTAAGTGTGTGCGTCGTTCTACAATGTTCTACAATGTGCGTCGTTCTACAAGCTTACTGGTACCTATAGTCGAAAGCGTAGATGCAACACGAAATAAAAACGCTCGACTTCGTAAATGCTTTTTCTGCTGGAGAGATTCGAGACAAGTGTGTGCGTCGTTGTACAATGTTCTACAATGTGCGTCGTTCTACAAGCTTACTGGTATAGTCGAAAGCGTAGAAAGAACACGAAATGAAAAAGACAAAAAACCATTACATCGCCTGTAAGGTCAACTTCTAACATTCGCTGCGATGTTCATGAACAGAGGATGATAGGAAACGGAACTAACATTCATTGTAATAGATTTTTGGTTTGCGTGTGGAAATTGATAGTACTAAGTATATATGGTGTGCCTCATTTCTAATGAGCCTTACCATATAGAATGTTCCCATCTTAGGCAAAGTTGCTCATTCCAGTGAGGTCTTTCGGATGCCGGGCAATTTAGTTGAAAGAGCGCTCATTAAGAGGTGTGCAAAATATTGTTCTGCCTCATTTCTAATGGTGCTGATCTCATAGAAAGTCTCCGTCATTGGTAAAGTTGTTTATTTGAATGTGACCTTTCAGGTGTCAGTTTATTATAAACAAATCGATCGCTCTAGTGTACTAATCATTGTTTTATCTCAATCCCAATGATCCTGACCATATGGAAATTTTCCGTCTTGTAAATTTGAGAAAATTAAAAATTGGACCTTTCAGATTGTTTATCAATGGTAGTCAGTGATAACATTTAAATCAGGAATCTTACTTTTTTCATTTGACGTCTATACATTCTTCAACAATGATTATTTCCAGCAACTTCCAGTCTATGTTACCGTACTCGGATAAGTAATACTTATCTCTCGCATCCTTAAATACCGTTGGTTGCTGAATCTTGGCATCGCTAACTTCCTTTTCACAAGTATCTTCAGCCTCCGGGATGCAATGTACAATGCATTGATTCTTCCGATTTGAACTTGATGAAAACCGCTTTTTCCTCCGCAATCTGGTACATTACTTCCATCTCAACGTGATTCGCCGTGATTGTCAATTTTACCCATTGTGGGCATTGTACTTCCATTGAGAAAGTCAAATCCAATTATGATCGTCAGAACCACCATTTTGGTTTTTTTTTTTTTCAACGGCGAGAACCAATTCTAACCTCTTTGTTTCAAATGTTTTGAAAAAGTGGTCTGGAGAAGAGCTGTAGAGAAAGCAATGGCACACATTTTTTTCCGGCTAAAATGTATTAATATAACATGACAAACAAAAGTTAAGGGTATTTTTATCGCAATAAATCAACGCAATAAATGTTATCGACTCTAAAAGTTGGATCGATACTGTTTTCTTAATACGGTGTCTGAAAGTCCACACATAAAGCATTATATGAGGTTGAAACTGGGGAATAAATTTTTAACTATAGAAATTCCCAATCGGATATGGAAATTGTCGCGTTTGCCATTGACGCTCGACAAGATACATTAAAAAATGCTCATCCTGGAAAATTCTTGTCAAACAACAATTTCTTGTCGCACGACAAGATCACCACGACAAAATCAAGAATCCATCCAGTCGCGACTATCTATTCTAGTCATATGTCACTCATACTGTTCCCTGAAACAAAGTACTATATCCATTCTTAAACGGAGGCCTGATTTCAAAAATGGCCGGAAATAATGTTATTGGTATTTCCTATTTCAGAAAAGTGGGAAATACTGCCAAATGCCCTTCAATATGGAAATTTTCAGAATCGGGCTGACCTCTAGAGACCGAAAATCGATGCCCAGCGCCATCTTGAAATCTAAGGTGGCGGCTACCGATTTCAGAAAAAGTGGGAAATACTGCCAAATACACTTCAATATGTATATTTTCGGAATTGCGATGATGTCTAAAATTTGTAAATCGATTTCCGACGTCATTTTGAAATCCAAGATGGTGGCTTCCAATTTCAGAAAAAGTGGGAAGTACTGCCAAATACATTTCAATATGTATATTTTCGAAATCGGAATGACATCTAGAGACCAAAAATCGATGTCCGACGCCATTTTTTAATCCAATATGGCGGCTCTCATATCCTGAAAAACTGTCACATACACTACAATATGTGTATTTACGGAACGGGTTCGACGTGTACATCCCGAAAATATATGTCTGACACTATTTTGTAGTCCAATATGGCGGCTCTCAGATTCAGAAAAACTATCAAATTTGGGTATTTTCGGAACAAGTGGCCAGTGACTTCAGAAAAACTGTCAAATACCCTATAATATGGATATTTTCAGAACTGGGTCGACGCGTAAATCCCGAAAATCGAGGTCAGACGCCATGTTTTAATCCAAGATGGTGGCCAGTGACCTCAGAAAAACTGTCAAATACCCAATAATATGGATTTTTGAGACGACATGTAGATGCCGAATATCAATGTCCGACACCATTTTGAGATCCAGGATGGTGGCTTCCGGTTTCAGAAAAAGATATAAATACAGTCAAATACCCTTCAATATGAGTATTTTTGGAAAAGGAATGATGTTTAGAGAATTTCATCTAAAAATAGAAAATGGATTCCAAAATGGCGTCGGACATCGATTTTCGGCAGCTTCCAGTTGTGTCCGTTGATGGGTATTTATCACCGCACACACGAAGTTCAGCGCCAAGATTCAAGCTACTTCGAGTCAGAGGTGAAATCCCGTCAAAACAACACAATTCCAGTTATTTCTTGTTGTGTCTTGTATGCAAAGCTACATGCATTTACTAGAAAACGACCAGCGGCAGTTTTGTCGCGACAGAATGGAAGAATGACAGACTTTTTTCGTCAATAACCATGTCGACAGTTTCCGTCAATCTTGTCGTCCGACGTACGTGAGACAACTAAAGGCCGGCGCACAATAGATACGTTTTCGGGTTTTTTGACAGATAATGCATGTGCTAACTGTCAAAAAACCTTAAAACGTATCTATTGTGCGCCGGCCTTAAGTCGTTCTGGAAAACGTCATACAACAGATGTTTCGTGACCAAATGAGAGAAAGACAATAATAGAAAATGTGTCGTCGAGAGGCAGCCCAGGAGATCAGTCTTTCAAGCAGAAGTTTGCTGGGGGGGACGTGCTGTCAAATCAGCCTACTGATCATTCTTGTATGGAACTGGTTCCAAACGTAAACAAACGCTGTAGGTTTCTTATGGCTTGTTTACGTTTGGAACCAGTTATGCGAGGTAGGCGACGATTGTTCGTATTTGACAGCCACCTCCCCCCTTGGAAGTTTGTTGCATCGTGCTTGTCAGATGAGCGTTGACTTTTTGTTGTTGTCGTTGTTACATAGTTTATCGGCATGAGGTTGACAATTCCCAAGCCTGTTTCCAATAATGTTTCGAAAATTACGTTTAACCATTCACTCTACCAGAAATGAGCAGCAAAAATGATGGAATGAAAAAAAAAACTTATTTCTTAGAAACACCCGAATTGAAAACAGAAGAATTGCTCTTACGCTGTCACACGAGGAGCTAGACAACTAAGCTAGACTAAGTCAAGGTTCTAAAATATGCATATTGCCCATAAATTTCAAATTTGATCAAGTCTTTTTGAAATTCTACATTTAAAAGTTGTAATACTTCAAGAAATGTTCA